CCAATGCCTCCATTAACGTAGTTTCAATTGTTATTTTACGCGTGGTACTTCGTATTGATTAAGAAACCCCAATTTTTACGAAGCATGTGACTTTATCGGGCGATTTAAATTTAGATTTAAGTACAATAGATTTTTACAGCATTTAAGATTGCAAAGAAATACCCTGTTGAAACACAGAAGAAAATCAAAGACTCAAAATCAACGTAAAATTAACAAATAAATTATTGGAACAATTCGCCCTTGCACTGTGGCAAATTGTGTTGGTCGCACTAGTCAGTGAGGGCGCAAGGCTCATGCAGTGTTGGTGATAAATAGCGTCTGAGAAATGTTGTATGTGAAAGTTGTTCCACTACATAAGACTGTATCAGTGGTAGAGGAGTTCTCTGCACAAAGATGGCGAATTCTAATGCCAATACAGCCAGAGAACATGATGTAAACGACGTTGATTGGGCAGAAGGCAACTCTGGTTTCGACCCACAAGTTGTCAACAAAATGCTATCCGATGAACTCAATCAACTATCCATAGGTCGTCGTCAACAAGTTTTGGAAGAAATCCATGGCGTACAGCCTGGTGGGAGATCTCCAATGCACTTCGGCAAGAACACTATCAACCAACAATTACAACGGCAACAAGAAGATATTGCATTGAAAAAATTCCGAGAAGAACTCGAGAATTGTTTTCTCTCTGACAACAAATATCCTGCGTATAGATACGCAAAGGAGCACGGAAGCGAACTTATCCGAGATCGCGACTTTGAGCTGTCATTCTTCGGATACGGTCAGGGAGGGAATTGTCCAAAAAGGGCCGCCGCCCGGATGGTCAATTATCTTGAAATGGCTCGTGAAACATTTGGCACAGACGATGTTTTGTTTCGTCCAATTTGTCTTTCTGATTTCGACGAAGACCTAGGTGCAAGGGAGTTTATGTACAATGAGGGGCCCTTGCAGATCCTTCCGGTCCGAGATCCTTCGGGGAGAAGAGTTTTCGTACATTTGCGAGATTTTGGGCCATCGAGTTGCCATGTGAAAATAAGGGTGAGACTATAATTCATTTGAAATCGATTCTCTCTATTTCTTGTCTGGATTGACCTGCTACATGTTCATACTCATCCTTGAATCACGTGTTGTTTTTTCCAACTGAAATGAATTGCAGCAACAAGTAGGTATGTATTTCGTGCAAAGTATATCGGAAGAGCGAGATGGAGCAGTCTGTGTGTTATTTCTGCATCACGCTTGCGACAATGTATATAACCGTGACGAATTTCAGACTGTAAATAAAATGATGAAGATAATTCCACCCAAGTTCAGTGCGTTTCATCTTTGTTGTCCAGTGGGTCCAATGTACGACGTTGTAAAAGCCGCTGTCACACTACTCATCGGGAAGGAGAACAGACATAGACTTCGGATTCATGTAGGTTCATTCCAAGAATGCAAGTACAGTTTGCGGCCCTTTGGAATTCCCGTTGATCGTCTTCCTGCGTATTTAAGTTTTAGTGGGGGATCTTCGCAGAGACAGCAATACCAAAATATAAAGAATCACCTAAGGTGGTTGCAAATCCGCGCAGCAAAGGACACCGCCATGTTTGCAGCCATTGGGAGGGATAGCAACGGCGAAATAATTGATGGCGGGCATCAAGAGAATAAGGACATTGGAGAATCATACGCTGGTGTCATGGCAGCAGTGCGAGAAAATCTATCGAAATTTGTTGAATGTCCTCGGCACGAAGACTGCCTATTCGGCAAAGGCCGCCCAGCGATGAACCATCCCGGCAACATTGCAATGAGACGGTTGGTGAAAAACAAGCTTTCTCAATTCATTTCAAACAATGCCAAGGAAAAATCCGAAATTGTCCAGGAATGTATCGACGAAATAAAAGAGTGGAATGGGCGCTTCCTGAAAGAAGACAGTGACCATGCCGGTGTTTTCGTGATTGCAGATAACGAAACGGTATTCAAGAAAATTGCCAGTGCATTTCGAGATTTGAAAAAGAAACAATTGCGTGAGCAACAGCGGGAGAAAGAGTCTGTGAGAGACGATCCGGGAAACGAATCAACAGGAGAGGAGGTTGGGAGACCGTCGCAATCAAGAGTCAAAGGAACCAAACGGCCGGCTGATCAAGAATTTCAATCGTCGGAGAATGGAGCTTCGTCCATATCTAATGGAAACCGGGGAGTTAATAGTGCGATGGCTATGAAGACTTACACAGCGACCAACGATGCATCGCTAATGACGAATGCTGAAACCGACGAYAATGGATCTTGTTTCTCCCACTTGGCACAAAGAAAGAAGACAAGGAATCGATGCTTCTATGACTAAACGAACCTTATGCTTCTTGTATATGGATGCTTCTTTTTGTGCTCCGCGAGATATTCATCGAGTCAACAAGCCTCTGATTTGAAAAGATGCTGGATAGCTTGGAATATGATTTAAAATAAAAATGAAACACAGCCAGTTTCTTGGCCGAAGAAGATGATCGGGAAGATGAAACAGGTGTCGTCGATAATGATATTGCCCCTTCGCAACTGTCATAACTTGACAGAGACAAGGTATACGTCTGTCTATCTCGCATCCAGAGTCCCAGCGATTTTTTCGACAACGATCTCATGCACCATAGAGAACTTCCTACGGAGCTTTCGATGAGCCTTTTGATCCATGGCTCCCAGCTGGCTTTGTGTCATAAGCTATTGCAAAGCAACACCATGGTCGGATAGAACAACAATGTTCCATTCCATTCCAAGCAACGGTTCCCGAAGCGGCGTCAAGCCGGATAAGGAAAAAGATGTGCTTCCGTAGCAATTGCGGCTGTATCCAAATCTTTTACGGAGTCGATGGTTTCGCATTGTTGCAAAACGACAGCTTCATTGCCGGTGCTGCTTGCTGACATATCATCAGAAGCTGACACGTGCAAACAGAGCAGCAGAAACTTTTCATCGCCTGTTTAAGACATTAAAATGGCACACCACTAGTAGTTCTAGGAGAAGAACACGACGAACAAGAAGCACCTTGTTCTTGTTCTTGTCAATGTATGGAATCTGCCTCATACAATGGTATGACCCACTGAGGGACATCATCATTGTAATCTTACACAGTAATTGGGGTGGGGAGGGATTGCAGCTTTTTCATCTTTTCTAGTCAGGGTTAGAGTGCTAGTAGTACATATTGACTTCTAGCTCTACTAGTAATACTACTATTCTCGGTGGCATGGTTCCAATGAATCCCGTTCAACGTACAGGTAGTGACTCTTGGGAAAGATGATGGTGGTGATGTTCAACGTAGGGGACGTACCGTAGGGCATACGAAGTACTAGTACGTTATACGTTGTAGTAGTACAGAATCATCTTTTCTTGCTCCACCTACGCTACTACTGTATCACGTATACGCGCTGCGCGAGCTCCTCCACAGTTATATCACATACTGCCTCTCTGCCTGTATCAATATCAAACGGTATCGTACCTACGGTACGTACTACTCGGACGAGCAAGTACGAGTACCAGTATCCGTATATACCGTACGAGACTGCTTGTGCAGTAGGTGCGCTGAGTATGGGTAAGGAAAAACGAAACAGAGCACTCGAGTCCAAAAAACTCTGTTTCGATTATGTCCGAGTGACCTGAGAAAAGATCCTTGCAAGCCATCGCAAAGAACACAGTGCCCGACCCTTCTGCGCTGCACCACAGCAAGCACCGACCGACACCGAATCGCACCACCATGGCAGTGAAAAACATCGACAGCAGCAGCGGCATCGGCGWTTACCGCCCCCACGAGGGGACCGGACGACTCATGATGTTCTTCATGGGCTTTGTCGCGATCATGGGCCTGACCTTTGTGAGCCAGCTTCGGGACTACCACCGCACCGACCACGGCGGGGGCGGTCGTTCCAATGCCGTGCACCTGTCGCAGCCCTCTTTCCCGGCGGCCGATTCCAAGATCGCCGCGGGGGCGGAACAGATGGTCGAGCACCTGCAGCGACAGGCGGAGCAGATTGCGGCGGAGACCGCAATGTTGTTGGTGCCCAAAGGATTGAGCGGGGCGGCGGAAGCAAAGCCCGAGGCGAAGCCGGAAGTAAAGCCGGAAGCAGAGCCAGAAGCAAAGCCCGAGGTGAAACCGGAAGCAAAGCCGGAAGATCCACCSAAACCAGCGGAGCAAAAGAAACCGAGACGCCTGAACGTCGCTCTGTTCTACGCCGACGACTGGACCATGAAGGTTCTTGGAAAGCTCGACAAGAACGTAAAGACGCCCAACATCGACCGGATGGCCGACAACGGGATGATCTTTACCAACAACTGTGTGACCACCAGCGTRTGCTGGTCGAGCCGTTCGACGCTGGCCACCGGGACTTACTCGGCCGTGCACAAGCACACCTTTCCCTTCCAGGAGGCTGACTTTGAGACGGAGCACTGGACGGAAACACTCTACCCGCTGATGAAGCGAAGGGAGCGTGGGAACTACTACACCGGGCTGTTCGGCAAGTGGCACAAGCTGGAGAAGGAARATGAACTSAATGAGGCCTTTGATGAGAGCATCCGTTACTACGGTAGCCACTGGGAGGAACGGAACGGAAAAATGCGCCATGTCACGGAACTCAATGCGGCCGACTCACTCTGGTTCCTGGACAAGTGGGACTCTCGGCGGAGGCAAGTCCCGGCCACCCCAGAAGAAGGGGACGACCTCACTAAGCCCTTTTTCTTGACGACGTCGTTTTTTGCGACCCACGCCCGGGACGGGGAGTTTCCGAGCTACCAGCCGCTCAACGCCACACGCGAGATCGAGTACCCCGACTCGGTGATCATCCCAAAGCCCAAGACGGCCACCAAGARGCACTGGAACGACCTCCCGCACTTTCTCAGGCACGACGGAAACGAGGGCCGGACRAGGTGGAAGAAACGCTTCGACCCGGAAAGCTTCCAGGCCAACATCAAGGACATTTACGCAATGGCCACAGATGTCGATGCGGCCATTGGAACCATTGTGGACAAAATCACCCAGCTAGGCGTCTTAGGTGAAACCGTGCTGATTTTTACAACGGACAACGGAAACATGCACGGGGAGCACGGCCTTGTAAGTACGACACKGCAGAATATTCGGGATGTTTCGGATTGCGTTTCTCTTCTTTTCGAAGGTTTCGAGTTTGATGTTCGCGCAGGGATCCGCCAATCTTTTTTCTTTGGAATCGATTTGCATGGTTCTATACGTTGCTGGCGCTGCTAACGCTGATGCTGCTCTGTTCCATCGCGAATGTTTTTTCTGATGTTTCGCTSTTCCCAGGCCGAAAAATGGTACCCGTTCGAGGAATCTCTCCGGGTCCCACTCGTGATTCAGGATCCCCGCATGCCCAAGGAGCGCAGGGGGACCATCAGTGAGGCCTGGACCCTGAACGTGGACCTCACACCGACGATCCTTGGGGTCGCGAACCTGCCACCTAGCGATTTTATGCAGGGCCGTGACATTTCCGACCTCTACCTCTACAAGGACGAGGATAAGGAAAAGGCCCTTTCCAACACCGAGGTGGCCGATAAGGTAGCTTGGCGCAAGGATTGGTTTTACGAGTTCAACCTGGGCATGAAAGACGATGCCAGTGACCATCCCTGGACAAACTTTATCGATGCCTCTTTCGCACTGGTGACAGACGAGTGGAAGTACGTTGTGTGGCCGCAGCACGATGACTACGAGCAGCTCTTTCACCGGAGTGTAGACCCCTTTGACGAATGGGACCTGTTAAACAAGGTCCTCCGCGGGAAAAACGAGGAGGTTGAGGTGGAAGGAAACGGAGACACCGTCAACGGGCCGTTCAAGGACACGGTGCAAACCACAAGGAAAATGTACGAGGAAATGAAGCAGCGCTACGCCGAACTGAAGAAAAAGGCCCAGGCTGGAGAACGGATATAGGCAGGCGCGGAATGACGCGATTCGACGCGATGCTCACCGCTGTAGAAGATTGTTAAATCAAAATTGRATTAGAATTGGGATGTTCTAAACGCAACCACAGAAATGACACGGAGCGTTTTGTTTCATTTCATTTTATTTCGTTTTTTTTCTGTTCAATGTGTTTCATTGCATTGGGTTGCTACATCGTTCGGATCCAATGTTTTGTCATTGCATTTTTGTTTCTATTTGGTGCAAGTGCGACAACTTCGAGCAAGCTCAGAAGTCGTCAGCAGCTTTCAAAAACGGTGCTTGATTGCCGCCTTGCCATAAAGTAGAATCAACAATCTCATGGTGCGGGGCGGACGCAAAGTTCCGTACATATAGAGACACAAGCAACTCGGCCGGCATCAATCCCAGCGATTCGGGAATCGTACAACGACTTCATCCAGATTTGTCCTCATTCGCCATAGTCCTTTTGATGTCCATGTCATTGTCAACGCCTCCGAGCACGATTCATAGCATCTCTGCGCACTCGAATGTCAGTAGATCGAATTGTTTCTCATCCGCCGGCAACCATGGCATCATCTCCTTTCTCGATTGCTGGTCCGTCCCGGCGTTCCCGCAAAACGATTCTTTGACAATCAGCTGCTGATTTTCCCCGTGGCAATGTGCGGGGGGAGGTTCGGTGTTCGATTTTGGTCCTCGCCTTCTCTATGGGAATATGCCTGCCACAACCATTCTTCGGTATCGTCATCGTCGTCGTCGTCGTCGTCACCGTCATCGATCAGACCGATCGTCTGACCCACATCGTACCATTCGTCGAGACGAATTGTGATTGGTGGAGTCCCCTCGCTGTCCCCGCTGCTTTCACCGTGAAGAAACCGGAAGTCTCCCTCGTCGTGGGACTCTACAATCATGAGAGGATTGGCGTCTCTCCCGTCCTCGGTTTCTTCTCGAAATCCTTCCGTGACCAAGTCGGGGCTGCATTCCAGAACAAAGAGGGCATCCGTGCACTCCAGGTACACCGATGGAGCCTTTGCTGTCGGTGAAGGATCCGGGGGTGGGAGACCGGTGGGGCAGAATCGAATGATTTTCGCCCGCGTGTGGGTGGGTGACAATTTTGGAATCGTAACGCGAGCCTTTCGAAAGCAAGCCATCGTTGGTCGAAAGCAAGCAGACGATGCCATTGCTGTCCTCTGTTGCAGAATGTTTTATTTTTTTCTCTAGAACGGATGTGATGCATTCAATCAATTTTTCATTTTTCAACATGGGGGGCATTCTGGCAAAAAGACCAAAAAAAGAAGGGGAACACATTTTTTTATAACTTACCGTAAAGTAAGTACCGTACCGTACGGCTTCTTTCTATTTCTTGGTTCGTACGAGTAGGATAAGAAAATCACATACACGTGGACTAGATTGCTACAGTAATTCGGAGTGTTTCCGACCCTTTTTTCGCTCACTTTTTGAGTGGAATAAAAATCGAAATCGAAATCGAAATGTACCGCAAGGTTGGTAGAAACTTTTAAAAAGCAACTCCTCTCAAGATGGAGATGCAAACTGTTGTCGTATTGAATGGAGATGTCAAAAGGAAGTCACTATCGGGCAACCTGCCTCAATTGATTCTGGCATTTCAAGAACCAATCTGTAAATTGGAAAGGCAAGATGATAGTTGAAATTATACGTACGAGATAGGTAAGATTTCCAAGAAGTCAACTGATTCAATTCAATGTCGGTAGTTTAGTGATCTCGCTGCGAAATAGGTCTAAAGAAAGACCACATCTGCCATCGATATCATTTCTTCTATTCCACGCAAGCGTAAAGGAACATCAGCACCATTGATTCAATCCGCGGGAATCTTCGCACAAAGAGGGTTCCCGCTGTCTAAATTCGTGAATGTCGATAAGGATCTGTTTCACTTCCAAGCTAGCGGGAGATGACATTTTCACATAGACAAGTGGCATGATTTATTCGGCCTCAAACTTTGATGTTCATCGGGCGCTATTGAAATCGTCGCCTCTGTTCTTGATGATAATATCCCTTCCGGTTGCGCCTTGGAGAGCCCACGATCGCGCTTTCCTAGTTTGATTTCATGGGTTGTTTCATGCGAAAAATAGTAATTCTCATCAACGCTGCATTTAGAATAGTCGCTCTTCTTCAAAGACTCAAGGTGTATGTATTGGTGAAAAGGATCTATTTTGTATTCCAACTTCGAGTTTGATATTATTGTCTCTCTTTGTTCAATTCGGCCGCAAAATTTGTCTGTATTCGCACATATAGGCTAGAGGATCAACAGATTTTGATTTGTTCCCAAAACTTGATAGTTTCTTGCTCAGCTACGAATCGCTCTTCTCTCTCGAAGTTATGCTGAATTCCATCATGTGCTCCGATTCCTCTAGAATAAATGATCACATCATCGTTTTTTGTATATTATATGCGCTGGTATATGGAAATACTTGGATGNTTTTGTTTGTCTTCCCATTCCTCTACCAAGCGTCCTCTATGCTTGATTGCCCAGTATATACAAAGGGTCTCAATGACACCCATTGCGTCTCTTTTGTTTGCTGGGAGCCAACTGTTGTCTTTTGTTTAGGATGCAGAGTTTATGAATAGATTTATTTCATGTAGTAAATTACAGTACACTACTATCGAAAACCGAAAATTTCGATACTATTGAAAATTTCATGTTTTACTTGGTACTTGTTGTACTCAAAAAGGGCGCCCGCGCGTGTTCATCCAGTCTTACAAGTCATTTCTGTTGAGATTCCGGATTCCTTAAGAGACAAAAATTTAGTCCGTTGGGACCTTGTTTTTAATGATTCCCGTTAAACTAAAAGTCTAAACTAGACCTTCTAGAATTTTAGACCATCTAGACTATCGGGAATGACCCAATAATCGTCGAGTCAATTAGTCTTTAGCGCTTAAAGTAACTCACTTCAGTTGTGTCTCCTTCTGCACCTTCATTCCTCGTCCCTCGGATTCAGGAGACACAACTTCAGTGAGTTACTAGAGTAATCAACATCGGTCTCATCCTCGTCCCTCGGTTTCGGCCTCTTGTTGATTACTCGGTAATCAACGAGTAATCAAGGTCGAATGGAACAGTAATCAAATTTTCATGATGCACGCTCTGTAGATTCTTCTCCTAGGGTGAGAGCAGACAGTGCGTGCATCGTGAAAATTTGATTCTAATTACTCGACGATTATTAGACATACGAGGTTGGAAGGCAAATGAGGGCGAGACAGGTCCGGAACCAATAAATTTCACGCTGCTCTACTCGTAACGCACGAAGAGAACAATACCCAGAATCTGCCCTCCCAATTTAAAACCTGTCTCGCTTTGTCAAAAAAAAACTTTTCCAGTCGATGAGATTGCTACAGTACTGTAATTCGGAGTGTTTCCGACCCTTTTTTCGCTCACTTTTTGAGTGGAATAAAAATCGAAATCGAAATGTACGTGAATGTCGATAAGGATCTGTTTCACTTCCAAGCTAGCGGGAGATGGCATTTTCACATAGACAAGTGGCATGATTTATTCGGCCTCAAACTTTGATGTTCATCGGGCGCCATTGAAATCGTCGCGTCTGTTCTTGATGATAATATCCCTTCCGGTTGCGCCTTGGAGAGCCCACGATCGCGCTTTCCTAGTTTGATTTCATGGGTTATTTCATGCGAAAAATAACTAATTCTCATCAATGCTGCATTTAGAATAGTCGCTCTTCTTCAAAGACTCAAGGTGTATGTATTGGTGAAAAGGATCTATTTTGTATTCCAACTTCAAGTTTGATATTATTGTCTCTCTTTGTTGAATTCGGCCGCAAAATTTGTCTGTATTCGCACATAAAGGCTATAGGCTAGAGGATCAACAGATTTTGATTTGTTCCCAAAACTTGATAGTTTCTTGCTCAGTTACGAATCGCTTTTCTCTCTCGAAGTTATGCTGAATTCCATCATGTGTTCCGATTCTTCTAGAATAAATGATCACATCATCGTTTTTTGTATATTATATGCGCTGGTATATGGAAATACTTGGATGACTAATTCATGGATAAGTAGGCGTGGATTTAGATGCTATTCTTTATCGCTTCTGTATTTTCATGAAATCGAGATCCATATCGTCACTTTCCACGGAGAAACAAACAGACTCTAACCAACCTTCACAAATATGATGAATCTACTARCACCTGAATTGATTGATTAGTCGTATTCTTTGTAGAGCAACACCTCGTCGATAATGTGTGCAACTCCGTTGCAAGCCACRGCATCGTCCAGGACAATGGCGGGGATGTCGTCCGAGTCGTTGGAACGACCCTTTTGGAAGGCRGGGACTCCGCCCCTGCACAGGGTACGGCTATCGAATCCATTTGCCATGGTAATGAGATTTTCCGGTGAAACACACTTGAGGTCCGACGAATAGAGTACCTCGTCCGCAACAACGTGGAACAGAAGAAGCCGCCTCAACCGGTCCTTGGACCAATCTCCGACGTTGAGGCGCTCAAAGGCGCTGTTTTGGGGAGCAAAGACGGTCCACGATCCGGTGGAAAGGGCATCCAYCAAACCAGCCCTTTGGATCAGGCTACAAAGTTGGGATAAATCGTCTACGCTGCACACCATTCCGACTGCAAGAGGAACAAAATGCAATGCAACAATAGCGATTCATGTATAATGGTGAGTGCGTATTGGGTTTCAAAATAKTGGCACCCCCAAGCAGCAATACAACTATCTCACCTAGAGTATCACACGCGACTTCACAAACTGGTTTCTCTTCCGGGCACGAATCCGCTCCACCATCGCAGCACGCCGGCCAACCATTCTCGTAACAGTCATAATCGGGTGCATAGGTACAGTACGAGGTTCCGGTGAGCGGGGGATCGGTGGATGGCTCAGTGGGAGGATCGA